TAAATCAGCTCTCAGGACCAGCAGGTGGCATGGTGGTTGGGGCACTGGACACTCCCACACGGCCAACCAGGGTGCAAGTCCTGAATCTGGTGGCTTGCTTTCTCACTTCCTCTCTCTCTCACTCTCAGCCTCTGTCTCTCTCTGGTCAAATTAAAAAAAAAAAGAATGAGTAAATAAAAGTAATTATTTAAAAAAAAAGAAATAAGAAATGTTGACATGTCACTTACTGAAAACTCTGTTTTACAGTGACACATTAAACATGTATACATCAAATACCAAGATCTACTAAATTTCCCTTTTCCATTTTTTAAAAAATTTACTGTAGAGGGGGTGCATTTGCCAGAGATAGATGGAAAGGGGGAAATGGCCATGCCACAATCCCTTCTCCTCCATTTCTCGCCTTGGGATTTTGAGCATACATGCACATGTGCCCAATATGTTTCTCAAGCCAACAGGTCTGAGACTCAGACTGTGAAGTCGTCCATGTGGGATCCAGCTGCCTCAACCGCCATGCCACCAGCTGGCCCAAGATCTCTAAATTTCAGTATTAGTTAAAAGATTATACCAACAGCTAGGGGGTTTTATATTATTTTTAATCTGTCAGAGGGTACATGGGCTCATTGGAAAGAGACAGAAAAAAGAAAAGTGGGAAAGCATCCCCCAAGAGGGCTGGTCATCCTGCAATCCCTTGTTCTCCATTTCTCCTTCCTTTTAAGATTTTGGGCATGCACACACATGCACATGATGTGTCTTTCACGTTGCCAGGTCCAGGCTTGAAATGTGCTGTCAGCCATGGGGGAATGCAGCTGCCCTAACCACCATACCACAGTCTGGCCCCTCAACAGGTATTTTAATACAACAGACAAGGTTTCAACCATTAGTTTAGTTTAGTGTGAGAAATAAAAACATACAAAAGTAATTAAAATACACACAGTAAGTATATTATGAGATAAGGTAGAGATAAAAACTTTTAGCTAGAGAGCAGAGTTCTCAATAAATAAGGAAGATTATTCAGGAAAGTAATAGAAGTTTGACTTACAATTGAATATAATCAATGGATAAACAATTTTATGTAGCAATATACCTTTAAATAAAGCACAGGTTATTGGAAATTGTTTTGTTTTGTTTTTAGTGTGTGCTTGTCAGAAAGAGAAAGTGAGAAAGCACTTCCCAGAGGGGATGGCCATGCCATAATGCCTTCCTCTTACAGTCTCCTAGAGATTTTGGGCAAGTGTGCAGAAGTACCCAGTGTGATTTTTATTTTCTGGAGAGGTTTTTGTTGTTGTTGTTTGTCTGTTTGTTTTGCTATAGGGCACATGTGCTCTCCAGAAAGACAGAAAGCAAGAAATCACCCCCTAGGGGGGATGGCCACGCCGCAATCCCTTCTCCTCCATTCTCCTCTCGGGATCTTGGGCACACACACACACACGCCCGGCTTAAGTTTAAGCCACTGGGTCTGGGACTTGAACCGCAGTTGACTAGATGAGAGTCCAGTGATGTAGCCATTACATCATCTGCTAGTCTCACCAGTGTGATTTTTCAAGCCACTGGGCCTGGGACTGGAACTGCACAGGTGGCCATGTGGGATCCAGTGCCTTAACCTCTGCACCACCTGCTGACCCCTAATGGCAAATTTTAACACTTTACAAATGAAATTGTAGCATTAAAGCAACTTCATTTTAAAGAGACCTACATGAAACTATGCCAAATGCTAAAACAAGAGATTTCTAAAAAGTATTGCCAGAATTTAAAGAAGTGAAAGATAAACAGATATTAAAATACACTTAAAAAAAAAGTCTGCTGGGAAAAGTCCTAAAGTTATTAACATTTAAAATAAGAGCTGGATGAATAAAAATAATAATCCATACAATAGGAACCCCATAAGCAAAAACACAAAATTAAGAAATACTGAAAGAGCTAAGAGAAACGAGTCATCCATTCTGGACATGCATATGTTACACCTATTTTATGACAAGTATTGGAAATAACCAATGAAGACAATACAGTCCCTGCCCTTTAAACGTCACAGAATAGTGTGGTGAGCCGATTACCAAAAGCAGTCACCATGTGCTAAGACTGGGTTTGGCAGCTATGGAAATACAAAAAGCACCTAAGCAGATTCTGTGAGAGCAGGAAGGCTTTTTGAAGAATGTGACATATAAACTGAGACATGAAATGATTAGGAATTAACTATAGCAGAAAATGGGGCAGATGGGAGAGGAGAGGAGGAGGAGGTTGGAGGGGAAACAGAGAATGGGAGGAAAAGGCAAAACAGCATCTAGAGATTAGAGCATGTGCAAAGATCAGACAACAGACACATCACCAATAGGGGGATGGCAAGTACACCTGGGGCATAATTTTACAGGGGTAGGCAGCAAGAGCTGAGGTTGAAAAAATAAACAGAGACCAGACATGGTTTGGTTTAACCTGTAAATCAGGTTAAAGAATGGGTACTTCAGCCTAAAGATGTCCCCTTGACTATAATAAGTTTTTTTAACAAGAAAAGTTTAGCGTAGTGAGGGGCCCAGATTATTTTGAGAAAAGGTTGTAAAACTTAATTTTCTACAGATACTAAGTAACTAATAAAAAATGAATAAAGGGGACTAAGAGTAAGAAAATAAAGGAGACAAGAGGGAATGACAAGAACTGGAAAGCCAAAGCCCCAGCTAAACAGAATAAGTTAATGTGGCTCAATGGTGCCATACATCCCTGTTTTCCAAAAGAAAAGGGAAATTTAAACTTTCAAGAGAAATCGATTTTTAATAATGGCGATTGGATTTCTTCAAAACATGGTACAGGCCAACATTTAGGGGACCAAATAAAACATGACCATGAGCCAAAGTGGTGGGGTCAGTCATGTATCAGTCTCTACCACAGAAACTCAAAGGCAAAGCTAAGGATCTAACTTGGACTGGAACACAATGGAGATGTAAACAGGGATGGAGGGCTACTGAAGATCCAGAGAAGGATGATAAGTAACCACCACTTGAGAAGGCAGTGTCTGTCCTGCTCACTTCTGAGAATGCACCTGACACTTAGATGGTCTCATAAAATAGTCAGTGATGAAGCTAAAAATTGGAATTTTTAAAAAATTAGTGCAATGGCAATAGATAGGACAAACTGGAGAACAGAAAATGTAAGCAGGGGGAACCAGCAGTTAGCGTAATGGCTATGTTGCTGGACTCCCACGTAGTCGACCGCGGTTCGCGTCCCCGACCCGGTGGCTTAGAACTCAACGCAGGGTGCGGGTGCGTGCGTGCCCAAGTTCCCGAGAGGAGAATGGAGAAGAAGGGATTACGGTGTGACCATCCCCCTGGGGGGTGATTTCTCGCTTTCTTGTCTCTATGTCTCTCTCTGTCTGTCTGGCGAGCAAACGCGCCCTATAGCAAAAACCTCTCCAAAAAAAAAAAAGTAAAAAAATTAAAAAAAAAAAAAACAAAGAAAGAAAGAAAACGTAAGCAGGAAAACGAATCCAGTGTTCCTTGGCACTAACCCAAGCTTGCTCTTGTATTCATTTTTAGTTTTGTTCACATGCCTAGTGTTCTTTCTTTGGCTATATGACTGCCTCAAAAATTTGGCCAACACACCAGTCACTACAATTAGCAGCTATCAGTTTTCACCTGGCTAGGGGCAATGAAAATAAACAGGATGAGTGCTGAGAGCAGATGGGAGAACAGGAATATTCTTTGCTCCATTTCAACTCCAAGCCAGGAACTCTACTGCTAATTCCATACCCTACTTTAAGGCTGCCTACTGTTGTTAAAACTGCTACCTTATCAGGGATACATAACAGTCAAGTATTTCACTACCCAATGTAGTAACAGGTATGTCTGAATAGTAGGGTTGGAAAGAATGGGGTTTGAGATTGTGCTAGAATGAGGTAGTCTAACAAAGAGGTAGGTTAAGCACTGGAAACTAAGAACAGGTGTGAGAACTGAACAATAATCAAAATAAGAAAACATGTAGCCCAGAAAACCTCAGCATTTGAACATTTATATATTAAGGGTTCAATTAATCTCATCTTACAAGAGAATCTCATCTGGTACTATTTGAAATAAATTATCGAAAATTTTTCTACTGGCACTGAGACACATAGATAACCAACAGAGGTTATAAATTCATTTACTGAGAATAATCTTAAATGTCCCTCCATCTAGCAAAGGTGAAACGAACAGGCTGCTAAAGCATTAACTCGTATGTGCTGTACCTTTAGGTATGGCTCTACTTTGCAATATGTTTGCTCTCAAATAGTAAATCAACTAAGGGAAAATAGGGTGATTTGAAAACCTCTAAGCACTTACTACCCAGGGAAAGGACATCCAGTCCCAATAAAGTGAGATACTGGACCTCATCTTATAAAAAAGAACTCACTCATCATGTAAGGAATCCTTCTGATTGAGAGCAATGACTTTAAAGCAAGAAAAGAAATGTTCCTTACTTTTCCTTAGTGAGAATACAATAATATATGATTATATGATTCAACCTACTCTAGTCCAGCTAGAAGATCTGGCTGATATTCTCATAAAAAACTAGAGCTGATATTGTGATTAAAAGCTTACAGGAAGGCTGGCTCCATGGTTCACCAGTAATGCATGGCTCAAGAGAAGCGAGATCTCACAAGGCAACCACAGCTCGAAATCCCAGCCCAGTCAGCCTGAAAATACAGGGCAAACACACAAGTGTCCCAGATCTGTAGGGCTGGAGGACTTGAAGAAAGAGCTAGCGTGCGACCAGACTCTGTGGCGGGCATGCATCTTTCTGTCTCCCTTAGCACCCCCATACATTTGCACGTGTGTCTATAGTGAATAAAAAGAACAGTAAATAAATTAAAAGCTTACAAGAAGGAAACTTCACACTTTACCTAAAGAAATTAAGTTAAATGAGATATCAGGGAATGTACCAAAAAACAAAACAAAACAAAACAAAACAAAACAAAACAAAAAAACCCAGACTTTTAAAATGTGCTCTCAAATTTAAGAATAGTTAAAATACACTTGTACCTATAATGAGAAGAAACAGAAGGAGAATTACATATAACAAAATGTTTTTCCATGTGCTCTAAGTCTGTGCTATGCAATACAGAAACCATTTGTGGATATTAAATACCTAAAATGTGGCTAGTCCAAGTTAAGATGTGCTATAAGTATAAAATACACCCCAGATTTCAAACAATTAGTATAAAGAACAGATTATGAAATAACTCACTGATAACTGAAAAGATAATATTTTAGGTATACTGGCTTACATAAAATACAGTATTTAAAGTAATTTCACCTGTCATATTTTAGTTTTTTTAATTTGGCCACAAGGAACTTTTCTAAGAATTATTTTATTTAACTTTATTCATTTATTTTAATTTGACGAGAGAGACAGAAAGTGAGAAAGTGAGTCACCAGGTGCAGGACTCGAACCCTAGTCAGTCATGTGGGAGTCCAGCACCCTTAACCGCCATGCCACCTGCCAGCCCCTGGCCACAAGAAATTTTAAAATGACATAAATGGCTCCCTTTTGTGGCTTGTATTTTATTTCCACTGGACAGCGCTTTGCTAAATTAGTCATGTTTAATATGATGCCTTAAAATCACATGACTGTCTTAACATTTTCATTGATTTTAATACTGTTTGTTCCTTTAGTATTAAGTTCATCTGGGTACATACTGAATAAGATGATCTGAAGATGAAAAACACTGACAGCTTACCAGACTGTCCAAAAAAAGAGAATGACCCAAATCTCTGGGCAGAGGCTTGAGCCAGCAGGATTGCTCCAGCAAACGGTAACATGTTCTCTTCATGTTAACTTGGACAAAAGGTTTAGACAGTAAGAAAAAAGCACTCTGTACACATGAACAGGATACACTGGATCACTGAATTAAATCCATCCAGCATAATATTTGTTTTAGAATCTTCTCAATTGCAAGCCAAATGTTAAACTTGAAACATTATTCACAATGTTTGATTCAAGTCTACCCCTTTTCTCAGCAGTTTTTGTGTATTTAAATTCACCCTTTGGGAGGTTCTCACATACACTGACTCCAATTTAACACCAAAGAAAACACTCCTCTCTCAATAAGGTAAAATGAAATTAAAGCATTACTTTTTATGAGATGTCATGACAGATTTTGAAAGGTATTGGAATTCACATTTATAAACAAAAATACCATCTGGTAATAGTCCATGACCCATCCAAAGACTTGAAGAGAATGTAGTTTTAGGAAACAAAGACTTTCACAAATAAAATACAGAACATAAACAGTTTTACATAATACCACCGACTCAAAACTGAGAATACGGTAACACTGACTAAGAAAGGCAACTGCACGGTCCAAACATTTTAGGAGTACTAGGGTTTTTGTTTGTTTGTTTTATTTTGTTTTAAAGTACTGGATTCAGTAAAATGAAATAAAATGTATTCTTGAGATCCAAAACATCCTTCAGATTAAAATATTACACAAGACAAGAGTTCTCTGGCACAAAATAAATCAAGGTTTCAATTAATGTTCTCAGTCAAATTACCTTAGTCTCTAACAAACAATGGAAGAAATGAAACCAGTGAAGGTAATCCACATATTGGGTTGCCTGCAAACTCATGACACACTTTTGAACAGAAAAATACGTCATGCTTTTACGAAGACCTAATAGTTTAAAGGAGAACTTTGAGTTAAGGTGCCAGTTAATTCCAGAGTGAAGTAGGAAAGTACATCAGGTATTACTTGAACATCTGGGAGTCGAAGCACAAGGCATTATACTAAATTTTAAAAATACAATAGTAAGCAAGACACAATCTCTGGCTATTACAGAGTTTACTCTCTAGTAGTTTTATTTAAAAACAAAAACAAAAACAAAAACAAAAAAGGTTAGATTTCTAGGGCCGGCAGGTGGCATGGTGGTTAAGGAACTGAACTCCCACATGGTCAACCGTGGTTCGAATCCTGGACCTGATGACTTGTTTTCTCACTTTCCCTTTCTCTCTCTCTCTCTAGTCAAATTAAAAATAATAATAAATAAAATAATTTATTAAAAAAAAGAAAGACTTCCATCAATATTTCATTGCCTGTTTCCCATGCCTGAAACCAAAACACCTCCCCATGCTGCTATCTGTATTAAAAAAAAAAAAAAAAAAGGGATAGGGATGGGAAAGCAGGGGAAAAGTGAAGAGATTTGCACCTAACAACTGAACTGTAATTATTTTATTTATTTCTTCTTGTAAAACTATAAACTTAAAAAGAGAGTCTGAAACCTATTCAGTTGCCTAGCCCTGGCACCTGAAACTTATCTGATGCTATCTCAGAACGAGGATAATCTATAGCCACATGCCAACGCCATTGCTTTTTCTACTTGAGCATCCCTAACGCAAAATTCTGAAATATGAAATGCTCCAAAAATCTGAAACTCTTTGACCCCATGTGATAGGTGTTAGTCAGAACACCACAAAACAAAACCATTGCATAAAATTATCTTCTGATTATGTTAAAAAAAAAAAACGGTGTATAAGTAAATGAATTCTGTATTTAGATTTGGGTCCTATTCTAAAGATATCTCATTATGTGAATACTAATATTCTAAGTTCTAAAAAATCAAAAATCCAAAACACTCCCATCCCAAGACTTTCAGGAAAGGAATACTCAACCCAAATTAACCAACTCAAGAATAAATAAAGATTAAAATAATAAAGGTCAATCCTTTCAGTATTTCTTTTCTAAAAATAAGTAGGTACCTATATTTCATGCAGGTATTTTATTTTTTATTTTATTTTATTTTTTGAGAGACTTTTACTATAGGGTATGTGTGCTCACCAGAGAGACAGAGGCAGAGAGACAGAAAGAGAGAAATCACCCCCCAGGGGTGTGACCACACCACAACCCCTTCTCACGAGTCACCTCTCGGAATTTGGGGCACACATGCACACACACTCCCAGCGTGAGTTTTAAGTCACCAGGTCCAGGAAGGACCTGAAGCAGTCAACTATGTGGGAGTCCAGCAACATAACCATTACACCATCTGCTGGTCCCAATATTTTAAAACTATATAAATACAGATATTCTTTAATGAAAAAGTTCCGTTAAGCTATTATAGTTTCCTTCCATCACTATCATCGTATCTCCCTTACTTCCCAGCCTACCCAGAGGCAATCACTATCATGAATCTCAGGCATATGAGATCACACTTTGCACATCTTTCTTCAGTTAACTTTTCCTTACATTTAAAAGGTCTCTCCAAATTCATACACATCAGAAGATAGCAAGGCATAGTGGATTCTAGAGTCAGGTAACTAGGTTCGAATCCTTGCTTTGAACCTCCATTCTGGAATTTACTAGCTATGAAAGTGGGTAGGTTATTTACACATCTATGCTTCAGTAATCCCATATATAAAATGGAGATAATAATAGTCACTATTTCTGAGTTCCCATGAAGATTAATATAGTTAATGTTTACTAAGTACTTAGAACAATATCTGAACAAAGAAAGTACAATTTGTTTCTCATAATAAATGATCACTCAACTAGCCCTGTGGGCTGGTTGTCAAGTGAGGTAGATCCCACACAGACAACTGCATGGTTTTGGTGGGTTGAGTCCTGGAATTGGTGGCTTGAGAGACATTCCAGCACATGTGCATGCATGCCCCAAATCCCAAAAGGATGGAAAAATGGAGGAGAAGAAATTGTGGCATCACCACGCCTCACAGAGAGTACTCCCTCCCATTCCCTTTCACTTATCTCTGACAAATGCATAAGCCCTCTGGCAAACTTAAAAATAATCATTAATGATAATCTAAACACAGATCTAGTCGAATTATCATTATGTAACTATCCTATACCTGATTTATCCATGCCCTCCTTTGGACAGACATGTAGTTGTTTTTTCCCCCAAAGGATATCCACATACAAGTCTTCTAGGCAAGTTCCTGTAGTCTACTAGCTTGAATAGTAATTAAATGCTGGATACTGGAGCATGTACATTTTCAGCTACATAATACCCACCAAGCTTTCTACTCAATGGGTGAAAGTTGATAGCTCATAATTTCTAAACTGCATTTCCCAGAGACTAAGCATCTTTTCAGTTCATTAGTCATTCCAATTTTTAATGAATTTCCTCTGCTGCTAAATGCCTTTATTTCCATTGCTCATTTTATCTGTATCATTTGTCTTACTCTTTTGATCTTTGTAATAGTCTGGGCATGAATCCACTGGATGCTGAAGACACTGCACAGATCTCCTCCCAGTCAAGTCACTTATTTTTCTGTTTGGTTTATGATGTCTTTCATCAAATCTGTTTTTCTCTTTGAGGTAGTAAAATCATTTAGTCTTGATGACTTTTTTTTTTTTTTGAGGTTTTTGCTATAGGGAGTGTGTACTTGCCAGAAAGACAGAGACAGAGAGACAGAAAGCGAGAAATCAGCCCCCCAGGGGGATGGCCACACCACAATCCCTTCTCCTCCATTCTCCTTTCAGGATCTTGGGCACACACATACATGCACCTGGCATGAGTTTAAGCCACTGGTCTGGGACTCGAACCGCGGTTGACTACATGGGAGTCCAGTGACACAGCCATTATGCCAACTGCTGGTCCCTCCTTTTTTCCTTGACCTTCTAGGGTCATTCGGTAGCACAGCAGTTAAGCGCTAAGCAGAGGGAGCTGAATCCCACACGGAAGACCAC